GGTCACCTGGAAGCCTGGGAAACAGTCAGGGAGATTTCTAAGTGGACTGGAGGCTTGTTTGCTTTAGCCTGCCTTCATGTCCAGACACCTCACAGTCACAGGGAAAGCTCTTATTTCCTGCAGTCAATGAAAGCATGAGACCGAACATACAAGAAGGTGATGGTTGTAGTATCTACATGCCATTTTCTGTCAGTTTAAAGTGTTTGGCATACAAAGTGCCAAACTGTAAGACTATTATGATGGGCACAAACTTCAAGGAATAGTTAGGATCTTTTGAAGTGGGGTTGTATGAGGTACCTTTCCATTGTTAGTGTATCGCGTGCAGTAGATGTCAGTTGGCACACTCCAATTTGGAGAAGCAGGCTGGAGTCCGACCCAGAAGCCAAGCAATGTACTGCTGTGGAGAAGAGCAACAACAAAACATATTTTAGCCACCTAAAAAAACAAAACAAAATCAGCTTAAGTGTACGCTGTATTTAGAATATTTTCACTGCTTTACTGTACTGTCAGACAGCGATTTCCAACAGGCAACTGATGCCATTCTACCACTGTCTTCAGAGCCAGACTCCACTGTGAAAAATTGTGACTTAACATCACTGAACAAAGGAATGTTTGGGCCACCGCTGCCTTGATCAGTTAGTTTGTAAGTGTCATTGTGTGACTTTGGTGTTTAAAGGGTTAGTTTAGGATCACCAAAGTCACACAATAATGCAAACAAATAAACTGATTGAGGCAGCGGTAGACCAGCAACTCCTGTGTTCAGTGAGCCAAAATTACTGTATTTCTTAGGTAGCTTTAATGAGAGCATAGATTGGGCTAAGACTGAGCGGTAAAGCATATTCTCACATATACACTTAAACAGATACTGATTTTTTTTTCTTTTGGTGGGACTTTTTTTAGGTGGCTAAAATACATTTTGATGCTGCCTCCATCCACAGCAGTACATTGTTTGGCTTCCTTGGTGGCACCCCTGCTGCCTCTCCAAACTGGGGGCATGTTGACAGACTTAGAATGAATAAGTGCTCTACACAACCCCAGTTAAAAAATCCAAATTATCCCTTTAACTGTGGCTAATATTAAAAAGATGTTGGTGTACACAAGGCTGAATGATTGTGCCACAAAGGTCCAATGCTGGGTAAATCCAAACACCAAGGAAGTGAATGAAACACCAATAATATATTTCAAAATGCGTCACACTCCTGATGCCTTAAATCTCTGTCAAAAGTTTAATTTACGGCAGCTTCTTCTGCCAGATAAAAAACACATTTTTATCATTGAGTGGAAAAAAATGAGAGCAAAAGAATTGCTAAACCCATTTGCTGCAGCCTTTCATCTGTTTCATCCACTTGTACTTTTGTAGATCAGATATTGTTACAGCCTTTGACTGAATTCTTGAAGTCGTGGTTTTTAGATAAGCTTCAGATAAGAAATGGGAGCCTGAAAATCCACATGCTTAACACATAAAACCATTAGCTGCTGAGCAGGGCAGATCAGTCCATAGCTGCCACATTTTCTACATTATGCTCTCACTGTCTGCCGAAGAGGATTTCTTAGTTATAGCCTGAGGTTACGGCAGGTCCCTGGAGGAGTATGTTTGCATGTGCAGCCTTTGTGTGTGTGTGTGTGTGTGTGTGTGTGTCTGCATGGTGTCATATATCATTGAGCGTGGATCCGGGTGGAGCTTAGACAAAGAGGTGGCATTCAGCTGGTCCCCCCTGAGGAAACCCAGCTCTTACGCACTGATGGAGGAGAGGAGGACAGATCTCTCATATGACTCCTCCTCCCTCTATGAATGTCCATTGATCTGCCCTTGATCTTCAGGTCTGCACACACAGACACTCTATGTGATTCTGTTTCCCATGATGTCTCACTGCTCTCTGCCCTACGTGACCTCTGGGATCCATTCAGTGACTCGTCATCTCATTCATTTCTCTTATTCCTGCCTCTTGGTACATTTCTGTCTCTGATCCTTTTCTTTCTCACTCCTTCCTGCATCCTCAATCCCCCTTTCCTCAGTTTCTGTTCTCTCAGTGTTTTATATGCTGTCTCGCTCCCTCTCGGTCTTTTCTCAGTGCTCAGGGCTGCAGAATAATCCCCTGTGTGATTTCCTACTCTTCTCTTTTGTCTTGGCTTTGGCATTGCCGCCTTTATCCACCATGACGCTCCAATTTCAGGGCAGATTGAGTGCTTTAACAGAAGATAGCTTCTCTTTACCTTTAGCATCTCCCTACATTTTGGTGCTCGGGGTCAAGAAAATAAAATGTATTATTATGACTTTTGTCATTATTACTACATTAAAAAAATGGTGATACATGGTGATACATTTAAAGGATAGGTTGTATTAGAGTACAATGATTAAGGATTGGTGTGTTGATGTTTGTTGAAGTGAAGGGGGATACCTCAGACCTCTTGCAAGAAGCTAATGTTGAGATACTACCAGACTCACTTTCTCAATTTACTAAAGTCATTTTTTGCTTGTTTTTCCTCTGGGTTTGATTTTTTGACCATAGATGTGATAATATGAAATTCTGTTGCTAAGATGATTCCTTTGTCTTGGATTTCAAAACAATACCATGGTTTAAATTCAAAAGCCTAGCTCATTCCACATAAATGTATGAATGATTGTGTTTGTTGTGAGTTTCAGCAAAATGGCTGTAAAAAGAAAGGGATCTAATAAAAGTTGAACTCACACCAAGATTACCACTTAAAACTGCTCTAATTTATTTTTTTATTTGAACACTTAGAATGACGCAATTACATTAAAGGTGTCGCTCGCTGTGATGAACGCACAGAAAATTCACCAGCTCTGCAGGTCCCCTCAGCTCCACAGTTATTCAGTTCAGTGCTTTCAGTTCAGTGTGTTCTCATCCCAGGTGAAGGCAACAAAAGCATGTGGTTAGGTTTAGAACAGGACATCATGGTTTGGTTTAAAATAAGCATGGTTGTTACTAATGTCATGCTAAGTCACATGAAATACATTACTAGCACACTATGTTGTTATGAAACAACTCCATTTACTGTTGGTTTCACATGGGAAATATATGGCAGGAATATATGGCAGGCGCCCGGTTGAAAGTCTGGTGTTTGTTGTGGGGACTTTATCAAACTTTATATTTTGATGGTTGCCAGTGGCGTTACTGCCACTGGCCGGTGCCTTTCATAGCACCACGAAAGGTGCCTTTGTGCATTAGTATCTTACCTGGACGTTCACTGACATAGCTGTGGTATTTGACGACCTTAGTTGTTGGCCACCACAGTAACTACTGCCGCCACCCAGTGTGTATAACACTACTGTGAAAGGTGCCTTTGTGCATCGATATCTAACACCCACATCAAAGACAAAGTGGCAATACATTATGAGAATGGGCTATTTCATCTCTGTTTCTAACACAGCAGAAAGATAATCCCACTCTACATGCCCAATACTAAATGGCATCAGATAAATTAGCGACTAGCTAAGCTACTAGCAAAGTTAGCGTCTAGAGGTGCCATGCCATTGTTCCAAAGGCTCAGATTTCCATGATCCATAAAATGTCTCATTGAACTGAAAGCCCACTTGTCCGATGGCCCAATATCCCAAAACCAAACGCACATTGCTCCGAAAGGCCATTTCTCCATAAAAACACTATACAGCACCTCTACTATGGCCAAGGCATGACCTGCCTCCTCTCTGCCACAATGGGCGATCCCCCACATGGTGACACATGTAGCAGCTCAAGAGCCAAACATTCCCCTTAGGAGTTGGTGGAGACCAAAATAGAGCTAAAATAAGAGTAACACGACTCTAAATGAATGCTAATGTTGCTGTGTGTCTGCTGGATGTGTAAATGAGAAACATTCTGCATTCAGTTGCTGTAATCAGCTTAAAGTTTTGATGGTGAAACATCATATATCATAAGGTCCATAAAACCATCTTAAGCCATTATAATGTACAGAATGTTGTAACACTGCTGGGCTTGTTGTTAATGCTTAATGCACCATTGTGACAAATGTAACCTCTGTGTAAAAATGCTAATCTTTTAAGCTTAAATAGAAATATGCTGCTTTTTAAGCCTTTTACTGCCATTAAATGTTGTCACTGAAACTGATTTAAGTACTCTAAAATACCAACTTTAAAAGCCATCTTTCAGACCTAGAGGGTGAGTATTCATGCTAAAAATGTTGGGTGGCGTATCATTCAAACCTCAGACAGTGAACAAATGGCAGATGATCTCTTACATATCTTGGCTCTTGCCTCTGAATATTCAGAATTCTTTCATCCTTTAAAAGACTGACTATCTTCGTGAGGACATGTGATGATAGTGTTTTCCTTTATGCGTCAGTTAATCACAAGATCTAGGCCTACTATCAGTAATCTGCTCCCAGCGTCAGCCTGTCAGAGGCCAGTGTGTGTTTGTGTGTGTGTGTGTGTGCATGAATGACGGAGGAAGCTCTCCTGTCAAAGGTTGAGTCATGAGGTCACCATATTACAGCTGTTCAGCTCAGGCTTGGCACACAAAAGAGGATCATATTGCATAACAAAGACATAAATCCATATTTGTTTTTATGACGTGGCAGATGAACAACAGAACAATGTACGAAAAAAAAATACTGCATTCTCTACAAATGAATGTAGGCCTATTGTTTGCTTAATATTTGTACATCCCATTGTTTTATAATCAGTCAGCAGCTGTTTAGCTGGATATTACTTACAGTGTGTACAACCTATTTGCATTGTAAGTCATCAACATTGTTGGAGGCTAATGTTCATAAAGAAAAAGAACATCCTAGCATCTAGGCTAGATGCTTTAAATTGTACAAGTAAAGGTTAATGCCCGACGAGGTGTCCATTATCAGGAATTAATGGACTTCGCGGAGGCATGAACCGTCCTCCGTGAAGTCCATTAAATGGAGTTGACCACCACATAAATGAGTGTAAAATGAAAAAGTGACCCAGAATGCATAAGACTGAGGTCAGATAATGTGAAGTTAATTTTTGGCTGTCTCTTGTTATTTCTCAGGTCATCGAGTCTCTGGGCATTATGATCTACAAGGCTCTGGATTACGGGCTGAAGGAGAATGAGGAGAGGGAGCTCAGCCCTCCTCTGGAGCAGCTCATCGACCTCATGACCAATATGGCCGAGGCTGAGAGGGACGCCTGCCCTGACGAAGGCTATGAGGCCACAGAGGAAGAGGATGAGGCGGAGGACGACCCTGACAACATCTCCAGCATCCATGGCTATAGAGATATCCTCAAGGTACGAACAGTAGCTGAGTAGGTGACTGTGGCTATCTTTTCTCTGTTTGTGTTGCCATTGGTGGCTATTTATATTTAAGCTAACAAGCTAACTAATTTTTGTTGATTTTAAACAAAACAGTATTGCTGTTGCTGGAGATGTAAACCACATCACTTCCTGTACAGTAGCTAAAGGTGCAGGAGTGATGACATCAGCAACTTTGTGAAAAGCTCCCAGATTTTTTTAACTAAGAGAGCGTGAAGCTGTCACACAAAAAAAGCTGAAAAAAGACACTGGGCCCTGTGTTTTTTCTCTAGGCGGCCACATGCAGCAGCATAAGCTCTACTCATTAAGAACAGTAAAAAGACGCTGGCTCTCAGAAAAAAAATGCTATGTGGACACAGGCCCTTAGAGGCTAGCTGGTGAACATGTAGTGGAGCATTCAACTGGCAGCCTCAGAGACTGACAAATGAAGCTGATGTGAAAGTGCCTGCAGTTCATTGAATGACCACTTGAGGCTGTCTCCATAACAGGGTATCTCCTCAGAGACTGCAATATTAAACTGCCCAACTTCACAGCATAAATAAACATTTTTACAGTCAAAAAACAGTCTTGGTCTATATAGCTAATTTCAACATTCATGACAACTGTACAGGGGGTGAACTTTATATAGGCTAACTCATGTCTTTACGTATTACGAAGGCCCAAAGTTAAGCATATTTAAGGGTGAGGCTGCTTCAGAGACAGCGAAGCATCACCACAGTATATGAGTCAGATCCAGCCCGTGCTCCTCCACATCTGCACCCTCTCGTCCAAATATAGTAACTTCTGGCTTCAAGAAAATTAGTTTGGCATCTCGGAGAAGGGTAGCTCGCCCAACACACACTATTATGTGCTCACCTTTTTTTTCTGATCCAGATGTTGAGGAGGTTTTTACTGTAAGCCAAATTATCTAAAACAAATGGACCTACTGATTCAAACCAGTAAAAACACTGAATAAAGCTGTTCATTGCAGTTAGGCTTCTAACTACAGTGTCCAATAAGAAAACAGGAACGGCCCTATCTGGAGCCAGTGTTGAGTTTGTCTGTTCTGGGCTACTGTAGAAACATGGCGGTGCAACATAGCAGTCTCCATAAACAAGGGCCTGCTCCCTATGCGGATATAAAGTGCTCTTTCTAAAAACAAAAAGACAACCATTCTTATTTTCAGGTGATTATACACTAAATAAAATGTACTATATTATATTACATGTCTGCCGGTATATATCCCCCTAATCCTGCACACTGGACCTTTAATTTTAAGTTGCTTTATATGGAAATATGTTTCTTGAACATAATCCACTGACAGATTCCAGAAACAGATGATATCAGTGAGGGTAACTGTTCAGGAAAAGATGCTTTTGAGAAAATGACAATGTTAAACATGGCTCTGTACACGGAGATTACAACCACAGAGCAGTCTGGCTCCCAGCCCCATCCTTGCTGGGAGTTATGTATCTCTGCCGTCCAATGGAGCACAGAGTCACTGTGTCAGGACTCACATGGCCTCACACTGTTTACATAATGACCACATACACAGTCAAACACACAATACACACACACACACACAAACACACACATACACACCAGCGCTGCTCTCCAAGGTATCTGAGCAGCGTGGCAGTCTGGCTGGCCCGATGGCGAGCTAGCTGTCAGTTCCATTCGTTGTCTCAGTGTTGTTGTCTCTGTGTGCACCCTCAGTTTACCTTTTGTCCTACTGTACTAACCCTGGCTGACTTAAAATACACTATTAACTGTTTTTAACTTAGTGCCACAAGAAAATAATAACAACAACTGCATATTCATTTACCCTGGGTACAGCTTTTTTGTGTTATTCACACACTTGTGATAGGATGTGGGCAGGATAAAGGGCACAGAGAGACAGTTATCTGGTATTTTCTGTGGTTAGTGAAATTTTCTCTTACTGGAAAAATGGTCGCTATGAGCATGCCAAGCATCGGCCAGAGGGCACCTTCTGTTCCTCTGAGAGAGACAAGGACGTATTCTCTCATCACTGTTGGTGTGTGTTTGTGCAGGAGCAACAGCATGGCTGACCTCAGGCATAGTTGTCTTGTCAATTGTGTTCAGCAGTCAATAACAGTTGTTTACAAACTGTGCAACTGTCTGTTTTTTTTTTCTGTGCTTATGTGTGTATCCCTTAGCGAGGCTCCACAGTTTGACATCACCACTCTGATATTCTGGATGTGCAGAGCAGACTTGGCAAAATGCAAATGAAGTTTCTGTGATACAGAAGAATGCTATGTAGTATTGAGCTTCAACAATTAGTCAGTTAACTACTTATTTGATCTACAGAAAGTAAATCAGTAAGAATTTTGATAATCAATAATGATTTTGAGTAATTTCTAAAGTAAAAAATGCTGGTTGCAGCATCTGAAATGTGAATATTTACTTGTTTCTTTTTACCATTAAAAATTGAATTTCTTTGGGTTTTGGGATCTTGATTGGACAAAGCAAAACAACAAAACCAAAGTAAACATTTTTACCCATTTTCTGACATTTAAAGACCAAGTGATTAACTGATTTATCAAGAAAATAATTGGAATACCCACAGATAACTAAAATAACTGTAAGCTGCAGCCCTAATGCAGTCCCGTCTTTTTCCTTCTCCTAGGCAATCAGTGTTGTTGCTGGAGATGTGTTGCCTAAAAGTTGCCTCTAAGCGAACAAGCCAGCATGCAAAATTATCGTCATGTTTTTAGAAAGTAGTTCACATGTAATGTTGACAAAGCACAGTGGACCCCACACATGCCTGCCAGAGGGTGATTTATATAAATCCCTTCACTGAGTATGTGACAGTCAGTAATATCAAATAATATGGACATTGAAAAACGTTTTATTGCACTCTGTGAAATATCATTTTTGTGTCATGTGTATAATTAATACCACTGTGTGAACTGACAGTCTCTCTCTTTCTCTGTCTTTCACTATCCTCTTGCTCTTGCAGCTGTGCACAGTTCATCTACCCAGTCTATCAGATGCCCCCAGTCACTATCAGGCAGTGTGTCGGGCTCTGTACACAGAAACCAGGGAGCTGGGTACTTTCCTGGACAAGATCAGGAGTGCCAAAGAGGTGGGTCCTTATCATCATCATCATCATCATCATCATCATCATCACTGCATCCACATTCCAGCTCTGGGCTCATATGGCTCTTTTTCCAGACACATTAACTGCAGTTTAAGTAATCAGGCATGTTTAAGTTAAACATTATACAGCACATATCGGAGCATTATCATTTGGATATGGTGAATGCATAAGCTATGGCTTTATAGTTTCAGCCTTCAGTAAAAACACAGCCTAAATTTACTGCACATGCCACTCCCCTCTGATGAAAGGTTACAGGATGATTGTTGACCTTTATATGAAGGAAGGCACATTTTGAGAGGATCAGCACTGTGACCTTACATGCCCCATGCACCACACTAATCAACTTAACTCTCCATCTGTGGGTACTGGTGACAGTGTTAGTGTTGTGGAAGTTAGTTAGTGCCGACTGTATGATTGGTTCGCTTGTAAAAGGTTTCAAGTCACTATCCATTTTGAAGAAAATAATCTGGGCTATAAAAATGTGTGAAAATCACTTGATGAATATTTTCCTTGTAAGTACACACAATACATGTACAGTATTTAGTGACTGTGGTTACTGTGGTACAGTAGTATTTAAGAATTTCACAAACATTTCTACAGTGTCAGTTTTTCTCTCTGCTTGTGAATTAAAGTGATAGTTTGGATTTTTTGGAAGTGAGGTTTTAGTTATAGATGTTAGTCGGAATGCCCCCAGTTTGGAGAAGCATCCCAGAGTCCAATATGGAAGCTAAGCAATGTACTGCTCTGGATGGGGGTTTGCAACAAAATACATTTTAGTCACCTAAAAATATTGCCACCTAAAAAAAAAGAATAGTACACTATATTGGCAGTGTTCTCGCTGCTTTATCTTTACGTCAGACAGCCTGTTCAGTCAGGGAAGTTATTATTGTCTTCAGTTCCCCATCTATGCTCTCGTCAAAGCGACCAGACTCCACTGACGAAAACAGTGATTTTACCTTGGTGAACATGGGAACTGCTGGTCTAATGTTGCCTTTATGAGTAAGTTAGTGTTATTGTTTGACTTTGGTGAATCCAAACTAATCCTTTTTAACACCCTAGTGATACAATAACACAAACAAACTAACTGAAGGAGGCAGCGGTAGACCAATAGCTCCAATGTTTAGTGATGTTAATTCACCATTTTTCTTAATGGGGTCCAGCTTTGAAGAGAGGGATATAACAGCTTCAGTTCTCCATCAGAAATCACTGTCTGACATGAGGGTAAAGCAGGGGAAATAATCTCAACGTAGCAAAAACAAGCTAAAATAGGTTTTATTACTGATCTGTCCACAACAGTATATCACTTAGCTTTCATGTTGGACTCCAGCCTGCTTCTCCAAAAAATCTGAACTATCCCTTTAAAGGTTCAAATGAGGAAACCAGCCGAGCATAAAGAAGCAATCCGTCCTGTCTGTCTCAGTAATAAGCCATCATTTCAGAGGAGACTGTCTGGACCGTAGCATGTAATAGGCATGGACATAACAGAGAGACACACACAGACATGAAGACAGCGCTCAGACAGCCGCGTCTCCTCTGTGACAGAGCAGAGGCGGTCAGCTGATACAGAAGTGCATCTGTGGTAATCAGTGTGACTAAAGTAATGAAAGGACACGTCAGTGCACAGCCTAGTTTTCTCAAGCTATGACGTAACACCCAATAACTCTGACTCATGTCTTTCACAAGCAGCTTCTCCTCATGTTTATGCATCACTCAGTGCTTATAACACGCAGGAACAAGTGGACAAAACCTGTCATGTGTTTTACATCAAGTAGAAACTCCATTTTATGCCAAAAATTTAGTGGGTATGTGCATAAAACATCACACAAAGAAAAAAAACACTCTCAAGTTGACAACCTTCCCTTAAAAGCATCTTAAAGATTCTTTAATCACCCATAAATCATACATATATTCATTAGAATCAACCCTGGGTCCTTTAATCTGTGATGCATCAAATCCCCCCTAATTTGCAATATTTGGGTACTGGCCACTTGAATAAACATTAAAGGGATAGTACAGATTTTTCTTTTATGTTGGGCTGTATGAGGTAAGCAAGTAATGTGTAGGCTAAATAAATACCTGAATATTAACCCCACTAATCTTTTTAACTAAGCTATTGGAGGCATGAGACAGATTTTAAGACTTCACTTTAAGGCCCTTAAAGTTACTTATTACATGGCTATTCCACCTTAATATTGCAATATAAAAAGTTTATGAAAATAAAATGAAAGAAAACTGCATATAATAGCGGTCTTAAACTTCCCAGCACCTGCACCATTGAAAAAACGTATGCAAATTAGCACTTCTACTCACTTCCAGTGGGTGGAAGTGGCATCTGTATCCATCCATCAAAGCTAATTGCAAGTTTTCTTGTGAAATCAGCACCTAAAAATCTTCTTTCGTCAGTGTGAATCAGGTGTCAAATGTGTTTTAATGAGAATGGTTTCATGTTAATATTGATTTGTGAAGATTTTTTTAGTTTGTTTAGATTCATTTGAAACTTAAATTGAACCTTTTGCCTGATAGTTATTGTGTGTCTTGTGGATACTCTGGTGAGGGACTGTTCGGTAGTTATTGGTAGGGAAGAGGGGGTCAGCAAAGAGGGAAGATATTGTAATTTTTCTTGGTTGAAGTTGGGGAGGTCTGACTTTTTCAGAAGAGCAGGGAGGGGTTTTTTGTATTTTTCTTATCCCAGATTTATATTTTAGTGTAAAATAGTTGCACCAAAATACACCTTTGCCATTGCAGAGAACAACAGTTCAGCCTCTATTTTAAGGTTGTATTAAAGTATTTATTGATGGTGCACATTAGAAGTTCAATCAAGATATTAAGGTATAAACTGGGGTACATGATTAAAAGTGCCGTATGTTACTCTGGAGAAAGATGGTTAATTGCTGACTCTCATTCCAGGTCGTCAAATACAGACACTTTGGGTTGGTAGTCGTAATGAACCATCAACTCAAAGTGTTGGTACTTGCCAACCTGGGAATGAGAGTCAACAATAAACTAACTTTCTCTAGAGTTACATAAAGGATTTTGAAACAGGTACTAGTTTAAGACTACATATTGTTTGGCATGATGTAATAACGCCGAGGGAGCCTTTTACAGAGTGAAACACAATGTTCAGCCCCCCTCATCGCCCCAATCACTTTTCTATAGCCACTTAAAAAAGTGATCAAATTTTAGGATTACTGTGGGTTATGTTTTAGAGATAGTAAAGTAAATCAGTTAACTTGTGCTGTTCATTTCTAGAGGAAAGGAGGATTTTTCAACCTGGCCGAAGTAGACATTTGAGTGAAAAGACTAAATATTTGTGCTTTTTTTGTTTTTCTTGACAAAATAGCAGTTATCAGCAGCTTTTGTACAAACTGGCCAAGAGTACGTCACAAGTGTTGTAATGTCCAAACAGTCTGATGCAACCGTGCAGTGTGCAGATGACAGGTCATGCTCTCACACCCTGCATGCTGACAGGTTGAATGGGCCACTGTGAAGAAAGAGCGACATGTTTGTTATGCATGTCCGACATGGATGTCAGTATCTGGAGACATGCTGACTCTCAATCTGCCAAGAGCACAAAGTTCAACTTCTCACAGCTAATATTCAGAGAGGCATGATTCACATAATCACGTGTAAGACTCTTATTGCAGTGATAGGAACGTCTGTGATGTAATGTGTTTTCAACTTCCCACATACCACAAAGGATTAATGTTCATTCAGTGTATTATTGGTATGCTGTCTGTTAAGGGTCATGTGTTTATAATCAGGAGGGGGGCTGGCAGGTGATTTCCAATTATTTTCCTCAGTGATCTGTGCTTAGCTGGGTTGCACAGTGAGAATGCATCATAATCACTGCTGTCTGCTTAATGAAGAGGCTTGAGAAGTGGCTTGGGGAAAATTAAAATGAGTTCATAACATAATTCTATCATCACAAATACATTATCGGCTTATTTTCATGTTTCCCAAGTTCACATTGAGGCTGCCACTCGAAACACAAAGACATTTCTTGTCTCTGTAGAGGGTCGCAATTTTTTTATTCTTCAACTCATTCATTAAGATCAAGTGCAGGAGTCAGGTTTGGGCTTTGTCTCTCCTCAGGAGCATTTTGGAGCTCAGCTGTGGGTTGGAACATTTCCCGTGAGGAGTGGTGTTTGAGTGTGTGTGTGTGTGTTCCACCTCAGGGTTCCTTCCTGCTATGCACTACCGCTGCTGCCCTTTTAGTGTGCGTAATGCATCTGAGTGAATAGAGGGGATTTGGTTGGTTGCATAACTCTGTGAGGAGAGAGGACTTATTGCAGTGTGGAGAGGGCTGAGAAAGAAGCCTCAAACAGAGGAAATTGGGGACTGCAGCCTTCTTAGACTAGAAAGTAAGGAACTAATGATTTTGACCGGTGCACCACAGTGACATTGATGTTTGTGGTTTTGAACAGCTATTGGATGGACTGCCATTGTCAGGCTTACTGTTCATGATCTCCACAGGATTAATTGTATTCTCTTAGCTGATTCTCTGACTTTTTATCTAGCGGCATCATCAGGTCAAAATCTCAGTGTGTTCAGTTCTTTTGTTTATGACCAAAAAGCGCAAAACTTAAGACATTCCCATTGCCCATGACTCAGTCTTGATATTCCCCTTTTGTTAAAATGGCAAATGTGCCTTAATTCTTTTGAAACTCAACGTTCCTGGGTGTATCATGGATGTATAAATTAGACTGGATACCAAGTTTGAGGTGGGGCCCCATTCATTACTATAATAGTTGCTCAGCGCTGCATAAAGCTGAAAAGGCTTGATTTCTGCAGTATGAAATTACCCACATCTTCCTCATTGTGAAGCTCACAGTGCAGGTGCACTAGAGACTTAGGGGCCATATCCACCAAAGCGTTTTTTCCTGAGGCTAATGAATTTTTAAAATTGTTTAAAATGGGAGCGCTATGTATTTACACAGCGCTAGCCAGCATGTCATGGCACTTGCCATGAATTCCGGGCTGAGCGC